CTATGGTGGGGCTACAGAACTGATGGACAGGGTTAGAGCAGTTGATGTCATCTACCTGCACTTGTTCGAAGCGTTCGACACTGTCCCACACAACATCCTTGTCTCTAAATTGGAGAGACATCAATTTGATGGATGGACCACTCGGTGGATAAAGAACTGGCTGGATGGCCACACACAAAGAGTTGTGGTCAATGGCTCAATGTCCAGCTGGAGACCAGTAACGAGTGGTGTCCCTCAGGGATCGGTGTTGGGACCGGTCTTGTTTAACATCTTCATCGCTGACATGGACAATGGGATTGAGTGCGCCCTCAGCAAGTTTGCCGATGACACCAAGCTGTGTGGTTCGGTTGATACGCTGGAGGGAAGGAATGCCATCCAGAGGGACCTTGACACGCTTGTGAGGTGGGCTGATGCCAACCTTATGAAGTTTAACCATGCCAAGTGCAAGGTCCTACACCTGGGTCAGAGCAATCCCAGGCACAGCTACAGGTTGGGCAGAGAAGAGATTCAGAGCAGCCCTGCGGAGAAGGACTTGGGGGTGTTGGTCAATAAAAAAATGAACATGAGCTGGCTTCAGTGTGCTCGCAGCCCAGAAAGCCAACCATACCCTGGGATGCACCAAAAGGAGCGTGACCAGCAGGTCGAAGGAAGTGATCCTGCCCCTTTGCTCTTGTGAGACCTCACCTGGAGTATTGTGTGCAGTTCTGGTGTCCTCAACATAAAAACGACACGGAACTGTTAGAACCAAGTCCAGAGGAGGGGCATGGAGATGATCAGGGGACTGGAGCACCTCCCATATGAAGATAGGCTGAGGAAGTTGGGGCTGTTCAGCCTGGAGAAGAGAAGGCTGCACAGAGACCTCATAGCAGCCTTCCAGTATCTGAAGGGGGCCTATAGGGATGCTGGGGAGGGACTCTTCATTAGGGACTGTAGTGATAGGACAAGGGGTAATGGGTTAAAACTTAAACAGGGGGACTTCAGGTTAGATATAAGGAAGAAGTTCTTTACTGTAAGGGTGGAATAGGCTGCCCAGGGAGGTTGTGAATGCTCCATCCCTGGCAGTGTTCAAGGCCAGGTTGGACAAAGCCTTGGGTGATATGGTTTAGTGTGAGGTGTCCCTGCCCATGGCAGGGGGGTTGGAACTTGATGATCTTAAGGACCTTTCCAGCCCTAACTGTTCTACGATTCTATGATTCGCAGTGACACAACCTGCTGAGCTGTGCAGGCTGCTGTTTATTTTGGTCAGTTTTTTTCTGATGTGATGCTGGTTTTACATGTCCTGTACGCTTGCAGATTAAAGTTACTTGATGGTGCGTGTGGATTCAGTGGGTGGAAAGGTCAGTATTTATCAAACATTTTTAGTTTGCTTTCATTATTTGTTCATAGAACCGTGCTGGGGTGTCAAAGTAATACTGAATCTTTCTCCATGGATGCTGGTGAGGGAAATATATATTGTCTGGGGTTTCCTGTGGCCTCCATGAATTTATATGTTTGCAGAATTTGTGCTTTCCATTTATGGGCAATTTAGTGCTTTGGCTTTCCAGGGGTGTTCCTTGTGTGCATATGGAATCTATTACACATGATTTGTAGATCCTTTGTAGATTTTAGAAACAGCAAAGATGGGATCACACAGTATAGGAACTATGAATAAAACTGAAACACCCTGAAAATCTGAAAACTGTTTGTCTTCCTAAAAGTGAAAATGCATAAATATTTTGTAAACAGTGCAGGCGGCAGGGGTTTTAACTAAAGGAAATAAGACACTCAGCTGCTAAACTTTCAGGTTTTGGGTTTCTGCAAAACCTCATGACTATGATCAGCCTGTCCACTGAGGAATCTTAAATGTTTGAATCATGTGGTTAGATCATAACATTCAGGAAGGAGGGTTCAGAGAACCCCCTGCTTTTCCAGGATGCTATTTTTGTTGCCAGGATAGAAAGATGTGCTGTAGGAAGGTCTTGTGGTAAACCATTGTTCAGGAAGGTGACCTCTACAGAGCCGTGAAAGCTGAGACTAATGGACTTTACCCTTGATCCAGATACACTGGATCACAAAGCGGGGAAGGTGGATGTCATACAATAGCTTACAAAGAGCATTCTTTAAAACACTCATCTCCTAGTCTGCTTTGATAATTTGGTTTTAGTAATTTGCTTGGTTGTGGACTTTCGTTTACTTTGTCTCTCCTCCAATTCTTTGCCAATTCTAAACCACCTTCCCTTTTATTTCAGAGGCTTTCTTGAAGATATGGGACATTCCTGGTCTCAGTGTTCTCTTCCAAGATATTCGTATGCTGTGTACGTGTTAACAACTGTGTCCTTGAGGACCTCGATGCCTCCAGTGAATACTATAAGGTGAAAAATAACATTATTTGTTGTTCAATATTTGGGGTGACAAAGACTTTTAAAAATATTGACCCAACAATTTTGAGATACCCTCTACAGATCCTTAGTTCTGTCTTGGAATTTGGTCTCACCTTTCTTTCCATGTGCTTGGGAATATGACTGTGGGGAGTCTAATTAGCTCATGCCCAAAAGAAGCTCTATGTCTTCATTTAGAGACCCAGCACAGAGCAAGAGGCCATGGATGGGACGATTAGAAGGACAGTGGGTTTAGACATAGGTCACTACTTGCTCCCTTCTAATCCCATTTTATGGCTTGTGCATTTTGCTTTTTTGTTATGGCTGTATGTCTGCCTGAGGATACTGGAATCTGTGTTTATAGCCCGTTATTTGTGATGACTGTGGTCATGACAATATGGATCCATCACATGTGAATCTGTGGTCCCTTCTGAACTATATTATGTGATTAAGTTCAACATCCTCATGTCACACAACATGACTCGGGAACACTTATTCTTCCACCATCATGGAGAGATATGTAGCCCTTACCAAAGGAATCATGTACTTATAGAGGCTCAAGGGAACCCAGCAAATTATAAATTGCTTTTATTCATCAGTTATGCCTTCTGATGTTCTGATTGTCTGAGAGGACACAGACATCTACCTGGAGCCTGGATGAAAGCAGCTCTTTCCTGTAAAGTCAGGGCCCCTACTAGGACACCGTGTACCTAGAATTTCACTTGATAGCTCCCCTTATATGCTCAGCATTTGCTGTGGTGTTCTTGTCACCCTGTAATGGCTCCGAGCCACATCTGGAATTAGCAATGTTCATGTGTCCTTAATGTTTCTGTGCCACTTACCTCCTCCCTGGCATTTTCCTGTTTCTCAAATGCATTTTTAGTACCTTTGTACTGATGAGAAATTAAATGACGCTCTGAGAGTGGCACTGAAAAAAAATCCCTTTTCAGAATTTACACTGCTACAGACCAATTCCGATGAACTGAAGCAAGTGCCTGCTTTGGGAAGACCTTAGTGCAGCCTTCCGGTACCTAAGGGGGCCTACAAGAAATCTGGAGAGGGACTTTTTATAAGAGCAAGTAATGACAGAACAAGGGAGGATGGTTTTAAACTGAAAGAGGGAGATTTACATTAGACACAGGGAAGAAATCCTTTCCTGTGAGGGTGGTGAGGCACTGGCACAGGTTGCCCAGAGAAGCTGTGGCTGCCCCATCCCTGGCAGTGTTCAAGGCCAGGTTGGACAGAGCCTTGGGTGACAGAGTCTAGTGTGAGGTGACCCTGTCCATAGCAGGGTGTTGGAACTGGACGACTTTAAGGTCCTTTCCAGCTCGAACTGTTCTGTGATTCCATGATTCTATGTTCTTGAAGGTCCTTTCCAACCCAAACCATTCTGTGATATGATCTACATACCAATGCAGAATTAACTGGGATGAAGGCAGGCTAAAAGAGATCTCCATCCAGTCCTCATTACCACTTCTGAACTCATGCTTTTCCCTACTTGACCACTTTGCGGGACCTTCAGCCAGCCAGCCCCAGTAATTCTGGAGTGTCCAACTCACAATGAAACATACAGTAAAGCATGGCAGTGAACAGATAGTCCAATCAGAACATCATGGAAAGCAGAGAGATGGTGAGTATAATACAGAGTGTAGCTGCAAGGGGCACATCATCACAATTACAAAACACCACAGGAATTCCCCAGCTCAGTTATCCTGACAGCTGCCCCATGTAGATGAAGATTCTTTTTCCTAAGTGGAATCCAGTTTGTAACAGATAGAAATTCTGAAAAAGCACAGTCAGAAAAGTGTAAATTGGAATTAGATGAATACAGACAGCTCTTTCAGCTGGAAAACTGATGATGTCGAGGTTCCATTTTTACTTTTCAACCCAGGACACACAGAACTGTAAACAGAAAGATTCCTTTAGAGTCAGTGGGGACCGTGGAATTCATGTGCGCAGTTAGTTTAGGAGGACATAGTATTTTTAATCTATTTCAGGTATACTCATCAGAAGCAGTTCTGTCTCTTGCACAGGCTTTTGAATGTGTCATCATCTCCCATTACGGGAGCACCTGAGCAACACGTACACCGATTTTCTCATTTAGAACATGGATGAGGACAGTTAGTTATAGATTGTGCTGCACATTTGGAACTCGGGCTACCTCCGGGTATCCTACTGGAGACTTGCCGCTGCTGGGGGGCTGAGGCACGGCCAATGGGTACCGCAGCCGCTGCTGCCGCTCACCCGCAGGCACCGAGTACCTCCGCTTCACCGCGCACACGCAAGGTGCAAGCACGGGCGCTCTGCTCCCAGCCCCTCTTATCAAGGAAGGTGTTGACACCCTCCCGCCCCGGTCGCTGGCTGGCTTTGGGAACCCGCTGCCCGGGTCCCCTTCTGTCCAACCCGGGCTCACGCCCGAAGCCCTCCTGCCGAGCAGTCTCCGGGCGGGGGTAAACAGTGGCAGGACCGGGGTCAGCGCTCCGCCGGGCACCACACGCGGCTACCTCCGGGGACGCAACGCCAAGGCGGGCCCTGCCGTGGGGGGAGACAACCGCACCCCAGGCCTGCGGCGGTGGGTGCCCCTAGCCGCGGCGGCCCCAGGCGGGGACGGGCGGGCCCCTTCTTCCCTCCCCTCCGCGCCTCCCCGCCCCTGCCCCGCATTGGCTGCGGGCGGCTGACGGGCAGCCTGGGAGGCCCCTGCCAACCGGCGCGGCAGGGCATGCCTGCACTGGGGTCCGGCTGCACGGAGCTGAGGGGTGTTGAACCGGGCAGCGCCGCGCCAGTACCGCTATGGGGGTGGAGATCGAGACCATCTCTCCGGGAGACGGTACGGGACCGCCGTGGAGGGGTGGGGGAGGGCGAAGCCCTGCGGCACGGGGCCGGGGTTGCCCGGGTCCGACGGGCCGCCCGACCTGGCGGGTGTCGCACAGGGTTCCGAGACTGCGGGCAGCCGCCGGGCACAGGCGGGAGCGCGGGGTCTCCGTGCTGGGCGGCGGCGGGGTGCGGGAGAGAGGGCACGGAGAGCCCCGCGCTATCTTTCCCTGTCCCCTTTGGGCACTTAACGCCGGTGCAGGGGAGCGGGGAGAGGCGGCCGCGCGGGGTCCCGGCGGTAGCGGCAGGAGGAGCCGGTGTCTCTCCGGGCGGCAGCAGAGGCGGCGGCGGCAGCAGGGGCGGCGGGGGCTGGTCTGAGGCATCCGGCGCACGGAGCCCGGCGGTCGGGGGCAGCGCGCCTCGCCGCAAACTTTCCGCTGCTCCTCAGCCAGCCTCGCCGCGGGGCACCGGGTGGTCGTGGCCGCGGCCGCATCCCTCCCGGCGCGGGAGCGGCGGGGCGGCTGCTTCCCCCGGCTCAACGTGTGGTGCCGGTGAGGGCTGAGGTGCAGCCGGGTGATCACAGCCTCTGCTCGGCGCAGGCTCTCCTCTCCAGAGCCGGTTCGTGATATTCTGCTCTCCCGTGGCGTTACAACCCCGTTTCATAAGGTTGTGGTGGTTGTAATTTTTTTAGAGGATGTAATTTCTAACATAGAGCCGTATGTGTCTATGTAAAAGGCCAGATTCGTCCTTGGCTGGTACACATCCGTAAATAATTTGTTCAAGCTGATCTCGGCTTAAGTTTCTTGGCCCAGTATCTTTTCTTTCTTTGTGTGTGCTTTGAAATTGGCTTCTCCCTCTGTGCTGTTTAGCTCTGGGGATCAAATTCTTGTCTTGGTTGCATAAATATAAGAGCAGAATGCTTGTGTGGGTATAAGTGACATTGCAGGGTTGAGAGTAGAAAGAAGGGTGCAACTTAACCTTCTAATAGTACTTCCTAGCTATTAAATATATCAAGGCTGGCTTTGTAAGCAATATGCTGGTCCAAATAAGGTTATATGGGTTAGTTTTCTTGATTGCAAGTCTTAATCAACATCAGCTGACTTTAAACACTGTCTTAAAACAACAGCTAGTCAGTGGTCTTGAGAATCTCTGCTTTTAATTCATCTTTGATGTGAATTTATGCAGCCTCATTGACTTAGTGTTACACTCACACAGCAGAACATGTGTCAGGAAGGTCTGATATTCCTTTTTTTGGATCTCTGTACAATAGTGCATCATTTGAATAATACCTTACCCAGGGTAGCATTCATCTCACATAACTTTCCTCAGGCTGGGTGCTAGTCTAAAGCAGTCTTGTGGGGTTTTCTGTAGTCATCTCCAGAGAATAATTCATCTTGCCTCTCTCTGGATTGGCTGGGTTTCTCTTCAGGCGTTGCTAATTCTCCACTGTCAACAGGGAAGGCCCAGGAGACTGACATATGATAGTTCGCTGTGTTTTAGATGGCTAAAGTTAAATGAGAGAAATTCCACTTGCGGGTACCTGACTGGGTACTTACTATACTGTGTTTTGTGCCACCGTAGCTAGAGATATTCCAGCCAGCCAGGTTGATGAACAAGGCTGTTCAGATGCTACTCAGAAGCACCATATTATCAATTTCATGTTATAAGTTCATCGTGTTTAGCCTGCCCTTCTGCCATTTACTGCTCATGGTGGGTTTGGCGTCTAAGCCCCAAGTATATAGTTTGTGTTACTTGGTTATAACCTGTGATGCACCTGTAATGTGTAACTTGTTATTGTGTTAATTCAAACTATAGAGGCCAGAAAGCCAGCTAAGATAGGAGCCTCACTTTACACCTGAATCCCCAGTTTCGAGCTTTCTGATATGGACGTTCATTAGTAACCAGTCTGATTCAAACTTGAAGTTCTCATCCTGGGCCCTCCACTGGCCAACCTTACCTGAGAAATCAAGGTTAGCTGCTTTAATACACTGATGACACCTAATTGAGTCTGGAAAATCTTCCCCTAGCTTTTAGTGCCTTTGGCAGTACCTAGAACAGGTAAAATGGAAATGGTAATATCATTTTCCGGTGGCAATAAAATAGTTTAAGCCTTCTTTTCCTTTCAGTATGAAAATTTTAGGAGGAGCTACCAGGCCTTTAAAAGAACTCAGTGTATCACTGCTTTATTGTTGCCTGATGCTACAAAATTAAACTGCCTTTGTGAATTTTTTTTTTTAACCCCTTCCTGGCTTATTAAAGTAGCCCTTGGTAGAGCTGTCTTGAGTGAAAGGCATTAGAAACGTGAATACAAATGCAAATTCTCACAATGTCAAACTAAAAGTTTATTTGAAAAATTACAGCAAAAACATTCTGAGAATTTTAAGGTTATAATCCGTGAAGTCTGGACAGTCCTTTTGCACCTGCAGAATGTAATTGCATGTATAAGGCATGGGAAAAATGTGTTGCATATTAGTGATTTGGCAACACATACATAGTCAGTACAAATCTCAGCATAGCACTTTCCTCTGGCAAGATAAATCTGCCTAATCACAAAGGTCAATCAGAGAAAACAAAAGAATAACCTTTTATACTTTTGACAGGACGGACCTTTCCAAAGAAGGGTCAGACGTGTGTTGTGCACTACACAGGTAAGGCATATTCTGAATATTTTCTCGATATTAACTGCCTTGATTTCAAGAGTGATTTCCCATTTCAGATGTTTGTTCCATCTTTTGCTTTGTTCTGTCACTCAATCCATTTGATTATGTTCTGGTGGGTTTCCTGAATATATTTCACCTGTAGCTGAGCAGTTCAGGCTACAATGTCCACATTTGCATGCTAGCAGATTTGCCAGGTGTGGTGTTCAGTGATGAGAGGCTGAGAGATGAAGCTGTGGACCTGATTCTTTAAGCCATTGTGCTAGCTAATGAAATGGAGCATGAAGCAGTGAAAATGCTGGGTCCATATTTTTCCAGCCTTTGATCTTGATACAAACAATTAATGATTATATATGTCTTAAAAGCATGTGTCTATATATTGGCAGTATAATTCATTCCAGATTGCAAAGATCAATACAAGGTCTATTTAGCACCTGCTTTATGGACTTGGAATCTTAAGTGATGAGTTGGTTAATGGAGCTGTTTGTGCTGCACCTTTGCACAGAGGGAAGATGTCCTTTGAATCAGTTTGTAATGTCATGTGCTGTACATAGTTACGTAAATTGTCAAAAGAATGAAAAGGGCTCTGCAGTCCTAATTCCCAGCTGGGAAGTTCACATCAAGAGTTGCCATTTTATGTGGGTTTTTTTTCCTTAAGGCGGCAAAATGTAGGTGATGGGGAAGATTGACAGCTACTGATCTGGGCCTAGATCCTTAAGATAAATTTTCCTTATAGCATTCAGTATAGTAAGAAAGTACTTACTGGTAACTGTTGCTTGCTTTTGGTTTTGTGCTTGTTTCTGTAGCTTACAGCTGGAGCAAGGTGGGAACACTTTCCCGTAAATGTAACTAATGAAGTAAACCTATTTATATTTTCAAGAAGCTTTTTGATTTAGTTTCAATTATATCACTCTTTGGGGAGTTAGTGCACTGGCTTGGGATGTAGGATGTCTGTGTTTAAGTTCCAGTACATTTGTATATTTGGAGTATTTTGTTCTGATGAGGATTTGTAGTTTGAATTACAAATAGTTAAATACATGTGTCACCCATGCCAGTCTCAGCTCTCATAAACGTTCCTCTGTAACTTAGTTCTGGAAATAGATGTTTTGAAGCTATTTTTGTGAAGATGTTGAAAGATATGTTTCAGCTCCTGTCCAAATCTCAGAAATTTTATGAAATAAAATTGTCACCTCCCACCCCCGGTTAGTTTGAGATAAATTTATGTGAAAGAACTGAAATGGGAAAAAAAAACAAACCAAAAACCAAATGAGGCCAGTGGCTCCCACAAAGCACAGTTTTGCTGGATAACTTCCTAGATAGTATGAATGGTAAATGTGGAAAGATAACAAGATGCTGCGTGCTCTTACTGATGTTAGATACCATCTTGGATGAGGCTGTCGTAAGCTGGCTTTGACATAAAAGACTATAAAAACTCATTAAATCAAACTCCAGTGTAAACTGTGTTGCCTCCATATATCTTGCTATTGGTGCTATGCAACTTCTCTAACTCTCAGATTACATATATCTGAAAAAGCTCATCCTTTCAATTCCAGTGCTGTGTCAATATTGAATCAGTCGTTGATGGTAATATTTTTAAAGGGGGCCCATGGTTAGTGGATAAAGTGTTTTCTTCCAGTGGTCTGTGAAGCATGTGAGAAGGCTGGCATATGAATGTCAAGGTTTAATTTAAAACTATTCTATCTGAATACAACATAATTTCTTCTCATATTGATGCAATTCCAGGAATGTCTGGGATTCATCTTGAAATGATTTCTGTCTTATTTATACAATCTTATTAGGCTTCATTGCACTTAATGCTTATCGTTACCACACTCCTGTGAGTCCTGCTTTAGGAGGTGAGTAGCTAAGTTAGAAATGTCTGTAGAGATATCCAGAACATCTGTCTTTTCACCTAAAATTAAGACTCCTAGGTGCAAGGAAATGATCCAGGAACCCTGCCTTCCAGAGCTGCTTAGTACTGGGAGTATGTAAAGCTCACAAGTTGTTCAGCCCTTGTGCCTCTGGAGCCAGGCAGATACCTGCAGGGAGGTGGGGTGGTCTGGGAAATGGGGGAACCATGCGCTGACTGAACTGCACCAATATCTAGAGATCATTTGGATTCCCAGAAAAGCCTAACCTCGCTGGAGTGCTCTGAGCACAGCTTGGAATCCAGCATCAAGCACAGCAGAGAGCCACTTTCAGTCAAAAACACTGTCTATGGGGAAACCACTTCATGCATAATAACCAAACAGTTGTTTCGGACATGGCAAACCTACGCTCAGTTACCTTTTCCAACAGAAGAGAGTCAGAGCTCTGTTTCACAGAATCACAGTACGGTTTGGGTTGGAAGGGATCATCTAGTTCCAACACCCCTGCCATGTTTGCCACATCCTTAATTGCAACCATTATGTTCTTGAGGAGGAGAAAGCTGAATTTTCCTGCTCCAGTTTAGCTAGGGACATTCAACAGTGAAGAATGGAAGAGCCATGGGGAAGAAAAGGAGCAGGCAAGAGGGTAATTGATTCAGGCACTCATGCAGGAGTATTGAAGCAGTTGTGTTCCAGTCCTTGTCTTAGGGATTAATTTTGTACTTTTTAAAATCCAATGATTTTCCCATACAGTGGTGCCTAGTCTTGACAGCTTGCTAGGTCGTGTAGCCTCCTGTAGTGGCCCTACCTCTCTCTTACCAGCGCACACACTATGTGGCGATGCAGCTCCTTAGCATAAACGCAGTTCCATGAGTCCCTGAAGGGCTAGGATTTTGCGCATGCATAGAAAAGACTTTACCTGTATGCTAATTATTCATGTCTTGAGAGGAGACTAGAAGGGGCTTGCTTCTGCCAGAGCAAGTTAGGAATTTTTAAGAAGACTCAAATGAGGAATGGGCTGTGGGCTCTGTTTTATCTTACCTCCCCATCTTGCCCTCCCTCTCCAGTAATATCATAGATGCGCATTCACCATGTGATGGGGAGTGATGGCAGAGAGCATGGACAGGAGGGGACTGCTTGTAATACAGGAATAAAGGCCTGTGGCTTCCTTCTGAAGTGTCTTTGGGGAAAAAAGGCGGTTAGGAGCAAGCTGTCTGGATGTGTTGTCCTGGCAGTCCACGCAGAAGAAGTCCAGAGAGTTCCAAAGGGTGGTACCCTAAGTATTTGGCAAAACTTTAGAGTCCTGTCTGCTCATCCTCCAGGATCTTATGATTCATGCATTGCCAAGGTCGGGATTCAGCAGGGTAGTTTCTAGTCTGACATCCCTACATGTTCCAGAGAAGTGGGAAGTGAGAACTGGAATGATTCATGCATTGCCAAGGTCGGGATTCAGCAGGGTAGTTTCTAGTCTGAAGTCCCTACATGTTCCGGAGAAGTGGGAAGTGAGAACTGGAATCTCCTCAAGATGAAGGAGGATTGTGACTGAGTTTTCCACTTCTGCTGTCAGCACTCCAGCTATTAGGCTGTTATATGTGGCAACATTGCCTCTTTCTCTCCTTGTTTAACAAGATGTATAACCTCAGGAGCAGACTTTGTGTTTGATTCTGAAATGCATTTTATGCCTTAATGGACAGACCTCAGTTCCCATAGCTATGAGAGTTAAGGTGCAACCTCACTAGGGAACAGTTTAGAAGGAACCTCTTAGTTTAGGTAAATCTTGCCCCTGCCTTAAGGAGTAGTTCTTGGCTGCTTTACAATTAGAGCAGGATTTTTGGATTACCCTTCAGAAGTACCTGATGCCCTTTCTGGCTACATAACGTGCCTTAGTGCCTAACTTTGGTACTGTAAATCACCTGTTGATTTTTCAGCTTTGCCTTCCTGAGTTAAGTACACAAATAGCTGCTCCAGATTATTGGGGAAGATTAGATAGAAAGACTGTGACAGAACACGAAAACAAGTTCCGATCTTAGTATGTGATGGAAGAATGTGGACAGATTCCCATATATTTTATCTTTGTTAAGAAATGTAACAAATACAGTAGTTTCTTCTTATCACCCAGCATCAGTGTTGTGTCTCAAAAGTTACTTGCCACAATATTTAAATAATGGGATTAATGGACAAGGTAGTGCATCGGCGCCAAAATGCATTTCCAGCGCAGTGGTTTGTGTCCTGTTTTTGTCAGGGATTTCATTGAGCAAGCTTCTGAAAGCCTTTGGCAATCTGCTTACTCCTTCTGTTTTCCATCTGCAAAATGATAGTTGTACTTTCTGTCTCATGTAGATAGATTGCAAGCAATTTGAGATACAAACTGCCTCCTTCTTCATGCCTAATGTAATGGCATCCTAATCTTGATTGGGTCTTCAGGTTACATTGCAGTACTGATAGTAATAAAAGTAAACAAATTACAGTGTCATTAGTCCTGGAGTGTATCAATGGAATTGAGACATTTTGTGCAGTTTCATTTCCTGTGATTTACATTTGTTGACTCTGGCAATGGGAATTAGCAGTGCAGAGTTTTCAAAGATTTACGAAGGTGATACGAAACATGACTTTCAGTTAGAAATGTGCCTAAACAAAACCTTTGCTGAGATCGGGAATACTCTGTCTAGAGACTGGGGGGGTAAAACCTGCACTCGGGAAACTGAATCCCATTCCTAACCCTCCTGTTGGGTGGTGGTGTGTCCTCAAGCAAGCTTTGTGTGCACTGGTCCCGAATCTGCGCTTAATAGTGAGAGGGCAGGGTTTTTCCAAGTTATTCAAAGCTTTCTTTCCTGTTGTCCCATGTAGCTTGTGGCACAGCTGAATTCTTAACCTCTTAATCTTTCTCCTTGGCCACCTGTAAATCTATGATATCAATACAACTACCCTTTTTATAAAATTGGTGATGATCAGCATTTGTGGTGTGCTGGAATAGACTTGTTATAGTGAGATGATAAAGGCACATTAAATCATTAATGGCTTAGTAAACTGGACTTCTATCAGAGAAGATTTTCTATAGACTTTTAAGCTAGATCAATGGCTACAAAATCACACAAAATACATTTAGGTGTATGAACAGAATAG